AAATGTCTTCAGTGTGTGGATAAGGTTTATTAAAAGGCATTATTTGTTATAGAAACATTTTTCTATATGAGAAGAAAATAAAACAGTTTTATTATGAGAAGAAAATAAAACAGTTTTATTATGTTCTGCTTATATTTATATTATACATAATTGTTATCTCTTTGTATATTTACAATGCCACCTACACTTATACACATTGATATACAGATTTTACTCAAATAAAGTTGAAAGTGAAAAAGAAATTATTTATTCTTTTCTTAAGTGTTCATGAAAAAAATTCAATTATATTCATATTCCAAGTCTCCCTGCAAAGCGGTTTCCCCCTCACCCTGACGCTGTTAATGAGAAACGATTATAATGTAAAAAAATAAAGACAACACATGCTACTTGTTTCGACTTTCATAGGTCTTCATCAGAAATGAAAATAAACAACATCTACGATAAACGTCTACAAAATCAACCGTTTTCTTTTTCTTTTTTCCTCAAATACCTCTCGGGAAATTGATAAAAGTGAACGATACAATGAGTAGCCACCTTTGTTCCATTATTATGAAAGGAACATCAAACCTTCGTAACGAATAAATTTTGGAAAGTAACGCTAAATGTGAAATTATTTGTCATAAAATTAGTAAAATTTAAACAAATTAGTATTCTGACTTCCATACAAAATACTTATCACTATAATTGTACTATGTGCCAAAAAAGCTACAGATGCAAAAGCTGATTCAGGTAATTGGCTAATGAGTAACTGTTTGGAAAAAGAACATACACAACAATTTAAGGCTCTTGAAAAATAAACATAAAATAATTTCTGGGCCATAATGGGCCGTTAGTAGTATTAAGTTTTCAAAATGAACCTGATTATATATGTTAAGTATACCAATGTTTTTTATTTATTTTGTTTTATTTTTTTTAAAGGGAGACAAGCTAGATTCAATTTTACTTAAAACAAGACCGTTAGTTTAAACCATATTTATTTCAATTTATACAGCATAAATATTATACAGTAAGCATATACAATCACACTGATAGATTTCATGAATTGGAAAAAAAGTCAGATGTGACTGATGTAAATTCCTTTCCACACATAAGGTACTTACAATAAAAACATATGCACATATTTGGTTAGAATAATATAGAAAAAAGCAGATCAGATAAATAATTTCAATGAATAAATAAGTTAGAACATTGTTGCCTAGAATAGTACAAGGGATGTTCAAATATGAATGCAACTAGGCAAATATTTCGCTTTTAACCACGTTTTGCAAGAACTATGTTCATGTATCGCATAGATGGTTGTGTAAGCTTGATAAACTACATGCATGTATGTTAGCTTTCACAATAGCTCGATTATCGCTATCGACTCGTGTATACTAAAGCTAAAATGGTTTGTTATTGACCAAAAACGGTTCTATATCAAGAACCGCTGTATTCTCGGTATACAGGCGAAAGACATATTAAATGAAATATTTTTGTTGTCTTTATGGGAACTATGAACTTTCTTTTCCACCTGTAACATCTGTAAGAAGCTTTAAAGTGGTGTGGATTCAGTAAAAGATGCACCTCATGCACGCTGCCCGAAACTGTAACTTCGCCATAAGTGGTTTGATTGCTACTAATGCAATATTTACAACTAGGTTTATAGCCAAATCCGTTGGTATCTCTGTAGGAGCCGCTCATACAATTATCAGACATGATTTAAAATGAGAAGGATAAGTGACAGATGGATACCCCATCTCTTTACAAAAGAGCAAAAACTTGCTCGGTTCATTATCTCCAAACGATTGTTGAATCAGTTCCCTAAGTACCACTACTCGATATTTTGCAAATTTTATCACTAGCGATGAGAAATGGGTTCACTATCATGAGCCCAAGCGAAAAATACATAACAAAATACAGGCAAAGATCTTGCTTAGCAAAACGCACCATGAGCGTCAATGCGTCATTTTCTTTACCAATCAAGCACCTGCTATTCAAATTGCCGTACCAAAGGGTAAATCTGTAAATGCCAATTTTTATAAAAATCTGGAAACAAAGTGATCCCTCGGATGCATTAATCACAACAAAATTACATAATAATTGCAGACTCGGTTTGATTGAATCTGTACATGAGGGATAATGAAAAAGTGCAACATCCCTCACGCCCCTAGCAGGTCCGTCATAAAATAATAAAATATTTCAAAATAGAGAAAAACAGATTCCCTAAAGAAAGTCCAACAACAATATTGAAAATAGTGCAGGCTCGGTTTGATTGAGCCTGTTCATGGACGGTAATGGAAGTGCAAGTTCACGCCCCCTAGCACCGGCTTAAGCAGAATTCAACACGAAAATGGTGAAAGAGCAAGGTTCACTAAGCACCAAAAATGGCCCCATCTTAGATATTGAAAAAAAAACCTAAAGGTGTATAGTACAATGTGTTACATTTTCAAAATAGACATTTATTAGGCATTTCTGGTTACTATGACGACATAATGATGTCATAATTAGAGCACCTGCTTAATTCAATCAAATCACAAATTTGACGACAATTTTCATACAAGACTAATAAATTTGTGTGTTTGACTGAATTAAACTCATAAAGATAGCAATATATTTCTTATATATTGTAAACAAAATTATAGTTTAGTTAAAATTAGACTATTGTGTCACAAAACTAATATAAAAGATAAATGGGGCTCGTTTCGGATATCCAAATTTATAGGATATTTAGAAATAAAAATGTGCATGCATATTATTTTTCGGCTAACTAAATGTATTTATTTTTACTTTTATAAATACTGTAAGTTTGTTCATGTTTGATAATAAATGTCTAATTTGCTTGTTATATTCAAGGGTGTATAGAATCAATCGCAATTTTAACGGCCTTTTAGTCAGTCTTTAGACAAGGACGTTGGACATAATAATAATAATAATAATAATAATAATAATAATAATAATAATAATGATAATTATTATTATTTTTATTATTATATTATAATAACACAAAACAGATAGGTATTTCTGTCTAACCTAACTACATTGTAAACTTACACTGAGTAACTATATACATGTAAGCAAATAGTATGTAAATACTAGGAGTTGTTGACTTATTCCAATGTATAGTGTAAAAGTCCTCCTAAATTAAGTAAATTTATAGATATAAAAGTGCGTTAGAATTTTTTTGTCAAGTAAAAATAATGTTTGACTGTATGCTCTTTCGGAGTATATGTAATATTTGATACTGAACTGCAAATCGATACTATTTTCTTTTATGAATTATGATACAGCCAAATCCAGAAAACGATTTGTGTTATTTATAATTATGGAAATCAGACTTTTATTACAATTGTAATGTAATGATCCATGACGATATGAGAACTGAGGAAAAAACAAGAGCTGTCACAGAACGTGACAAATGCCCCGAAGGATTCTAGTTCTAAACCAACTATTACATGTTAAGTGTGGTGGTAAAAATTGACAAAGTTTGAACCCCAGCAGTGAACTATAAGTTATACAAAGAAACCTAGGTCTTTTTCACAACACATTGTCCATCTATGGTGACTTTATATTTTTAAATAAAAATTGAAACTTTCATGTATACGGAAGTTACAGAGCGGACACAACAGCCACCATTTATATGTTTATAACATAAATATTGAAAAAGTTTAAACCCCAGCAGTGACCTTAAACTAAGGCGTAGGAACACGGGTCTTAAGGGCAACACATCATACATTTATGATAATTTCATATGTGAAATAAAAAATATAATCCTTTCATGCATATTATTTTCAGAGCAGACACGACCATATCTGCCTATATGTATATTAATATCAAAATTAACAAAGTTTGAACCCCCACAATTACCTGGACCTAAGTCATAGAAACCAGTCTTGTTCGCGACACACCATACATCTATGGTTATTTCATATATGAAAGAAAAATTAAAATCCTTTCATGCATACTGAATCAGGTCTCCGTGGTGTCAGGTTGTTGCATGCCAATGTTTCGTCACACAACGCGGCCATTGTACGAGAATATCTACTTCTACATCACACTGCTTAACAATCAATTCTGATTATGACTAGCAGGAAAAAAAATATCTGAAACAGGAAAAGGTTGTCGAGCTTCCTTAGTCTCCTTATGCGCCAGTTCTTGCCCCTTGTGACTTTTTTCCTATTTCCGAAGCCCAAAATAACCTCGCTGGAAGAAAATATCAAACGCGAAAAAATCTGGGTTAGGCTATTTTTAGTGTCTGTCTGATCAGTAAATCTCGAAAATATTATGAAAACGCATTTAACAATTGGATTAAATACTAAAACTTTATGTATCACATGATGGTAAGTATTTCGAAGAATTGAGATAATTTTTTGTCACTGTTTGTTAAGCACTTCTGAAAACGGACCCAGTTGCATTCATATTCTCAACAGTTACATTAAGGCCCGTGTTGCCTGCAAGCAGTCGTTTGCTCAAAATCACATCGTCATCAATATCGTTTATATATATCAAGAAAAGCAGAGGTGCGAGGATCGAGCCCTGGTGTACGCTTGCATTAATTGATGACCAGATAGAAGATCAATTAGCGTATACAACGCGTTGTTTGCGATCAGAGAGATAGGAAGTGAACCAGTTAAGAAGGGAACCGTTTATTCCAATTGAAGAAAGCTTATGTAAGAGACCTCGATGCCATTCTCGGTCGAATACTTTAGAGATATTTCAGAACACAACGCGAACTACCAAGCATTCGTCAAAAGCCTTTCAAATGTCGTTGTATATGTATGTAATTTGATTTATGGTGGAGTCACCTTTGACGAAACCGGATTGATAAGGCGTGAGGAGGTTGTTGGTAATAATATAGTTGTACAAGTATTTGTGGATACACCTCTCCATTAGTTTACCTCTACAGCTTAATAGAGAAATGGGTCGGTAGTTCCAAGGCTTAGATGGATCATTCTTTTTAAATATAGCAGTGACATTGGCTATTTTCCAGGAGGTAGGAAAGGTATATTTTGGAAAAAAAACAGCCAAAGGTTTAGACAGAATAGACGTTCCTTCAGTAATCGGGGATAAAAAAGATCTGACCCACAGACTTTCGATGGGTCAATAAACGATATAGCATCTTTGACATCTTCTTCTGTAATTGTAACTTGGGGAATAATTGAGTTTGTATGCAAGTTCAGATGTGGGAGTTGTATGTGTGTTTTGAATGTCAATGTTTGATTGTGTGCAAAAGAAATTACATGTATTTGGTAGTTCTACCTTAAATTTGTCAGTATTTGGAGAAATTCCGTTATCAAAAGAACAGGGATTGCTGGTTTTGATTGTATTTGTGTGAAAGATTTTGTCAGTTTAACCAAATGTTTCGTTGAAATATTTCATGAATTTATTTGTTCAATAAATTTATTTTGATATTCATTTTTACCTTTTCTTATTTGTTTCGTAACCACATTTCTGATTGTTCTAAATTGTTGCCAAGATAACTCTGTATTCATCAGTTTTGCTTTTTTGTGCATTTTTCTTATTAGTTTACGACGTGGTATTATTGTGACTATTTTGTTAGGAATATTGTTGTCTGCAGTATCAGGAGAATACCGTTGAAAATTGTAACCGGGTATAAATACATTAGAGTTCTTTTCAGCCGTTTTATAAAGCAGAAGAACATCGCAACCTGCCATGTTTAATCTGATAAGCAAAAGAGGAATTCCAGCTTAACATTGATTTTTACAATATATAGATACCTGAGCGTTCTGCTTGGTTTTTTTGAAGACTGAGTTTTTCAGCAGACTATTGATTTTACAATTTATATCGGACAGCCCGGTTACATAGCTCCTCCAGGTCAGCAGAATTTCATAGCATTCCTTTAATTAATTCTGATGTTAAGCTTACTATTACTTTCTCACATACGATATTCAGCTAAATATAAAACTGACACTAATGATTGACCTATATAATATATAAGAATTGTATCAGCCATTTAATAAAACGTGACTTCCATATATTCACAGATGAAATGCATTTGTTCCGGTTGATTCTAGAGGAATCTTATGCAATCTTAGTAAAAAATAAATAAACAGTTGTAGACTTGTACATACATCATATAAATACTTGCAAAACACACCAAATAAAGATACGTGCAAATCGAAGTACGTGCACAATACGTGCAAAATACACCATAAAGATACGTGCAAAACACACCATCAAAATACGTGCAAAACACACTGCATCCATCACACAAATTTAAAATAAATGCTAGACTAAAAGCTCCTGAGGCGCTCACACTATCACGCACATGCACATTTTTGAGAAAAAAAACGTTAATATTTCAGAAATGGAAACCTCCTTTATGTTAATTTATAGTATATCGTATAAAAGTTTCTGTCTGTAACATTCATGTTCCAAGTTGACCAGTAGGTTTTGAATTGCTGAATGTGATCTTTGTATCCGGCGACTGATCAGTCGCATTGTTCGGCCTTTTCAAAGGACTTATAAAGTAAAGAGATAAACTGTCTTCAGTGTCCACTTTCAACAATATTGCATTAACTTAAATCATATTCATTTCCTTCTATCTAAACGTAACTTGTATTCAGTTTTGATACAGGGATTGATATAAATAATAAAATTATTCATCATCACAATCTTTATCTGAATGTATATTTATGAGTATTTATATCAGTTTTTGGTTCATAAAAATATTACATATCGTACACACTGATATGTTGTACCCCTATAGTCTGTTGCGGTGGATGAAACCCGCCATTTTGGTTAGCATAGCCTTGTGTCGACTGTCGGTAAGGTTGAACGCCACTATTCTGACTAGATGTTGGAACATTTGACTGTCTGTAAGGTTGAAAACTACCATTGAACGTTGATGGCACAGTCTGCTGTCGCGACGTATTCGTAATAGGACCGACCGACGGCTGCTTATTTACGGTGTTATGAGTCAGAGTGCTTGGACCCGTTTGTTGTGTACCAGGTACGTTTGTACGATTGCCGTCTGCTCTCAATGGAACAACAGAATTGCCATTTATTTTCGACTGAATCTCGTCCAGTGCTTTACTCTGTTTTAGAGCAAGAACGATTGTCGTAACAGACCCTGACAACAACAGCATACCACCTCCGTAACGGAATCCTCTCTTCCAATCATCGATTTTAACTAAAAATAGAAATTGAAAACATGTATTGTTATAAACATGTATATATGGTTTTACTGAAATAAAAAAATTAAAATAACACTTTAAGCCGCAAAAAGCAAACATTTGAATCTAATAGAATAACAATTAAAATCGATAAGACACAGCTTTTATTAACCTAGTTTAAAACTTTATACATTAATTAACAATGAATAATGATATGTCTGAAAGCAAATCGAATATGTCGTAAACAATATAAATTGAACATATATAGACAAATATGATTTATATACTTATATATTTTAAAGCATGCAATACACTTACAAACTTAAATATACAAACGGATGTTCCTGGTACACCATTTAATCCGATGTTAGTGGGCGTGGGAGATGTAGTACTTTCCATCGTCGCTTACGAAGGGACTAGGGGAAATCGATTTTACGATTTTCAACTGTTAGATGTTTTCATTTAGGAAGCTTTTACTTCCAATTTTTGTTTTGTACAAAATGAACAAAACAGTGATGACAAAAAAACTTCTTTGTAGCATGTAGGTATAAAATTAGATACACCAGTGTTAGGATAATGTGTTATTAGCTATATGTATATTTTGTATAGTATCAATAATTTAACGAAGTAATTCACAATCTTCAAAGTGATGCGACACTATACAATTTTCATGTTTCTCTCGATGGTATAAGATTGGTACAGTGAGTGTTTTACATGTTTTATACAGACGTTACTCGCAACAATTTAAACTGATATTTCGATAAAGTTATTTTTGATACAAAAAAAGGTTTCAATCAGCAGTGCCGAAAAGGGACACTACACTTATTTATATTAATGTGTGTTTTTTAAATCTTACGGGTGATTTCGTTTGTAATTAATCCACCAAGACCAACACACATCAGTATGAGCCCTTCCACAATTCTTACATTGTCTCTACCAAACTCCTCTGGTACCACATAATCTCTAAATCCCTCGTTCATACCTGTAACATAGATGGACATGTATGTAAATGTTTTAACCGTTTCTGAAAACTTTGAATTACAATAAAAATATACAACAAATGATTCTATATAGTGATCGTAACAATTCTGTGACAACGAGGGAAATTATGTAATTACTTTGCATGTACTTTGTTTAAGAAATGTATTTACTTAGGGGTTTGATGGGACTTTGACTCTTGGATTTTAAAATCTGCAGTAAGACTTTTGGATTTTCAAATCTGCAGTAAAGGCTTAACTATGCGGGGACATTTAAACGGTTATTGTACTATTCATTTAAACTTACATGTATTTGTGTATAGAATGGTAGCATTGAAATATGATTAAACTAACTATATGACCGACAACTATCCGAGTTACAGCATAATTATCCTATAAATGTATATCAAATCTGAAAATTGAACTTACCAAAAAATGTTGCAAACAGTAAACTAAATGTAAAAAAGTATTCAAAGTTTACTGCCTCTGGTGCTACAAAACAACCAATCGACATGGTGAAGGCTGTAGCCACTAACAGACCAAATATATGTGTCAGACGGCTGTCTTTATGTGCATGGTCATCGTCGGGCCTGCACCAAAAAAACCAAAGTTCGATATAAAATATTTTAAAGACAAACTGTCATTTAGATTCAGTAAGCTTTTATAAATACATTCACAATAACATTTGCCATGTCACTTTAAGAATTAATACCATGCACTGCATTTCAGAAAGTATTTAAAAAATAGAGTAAAAATCTAGATTACATAGATAATCTAGTCTGATTCCACTGATAATCTAAGTAAGATTTCGCCCATAAACCACGTGATGTTTACGGTACATCGATTCAGGTATGATTTTTTATATTTTTTTATCAATAACTGCTGCTACTCAGCCGATTTTGATAGGATAAGGCGCAGAGTACCCGTAATTATATCAGCTGTTAATCAACGGTTAATCAACATTTTGAAAACCCTTGAATGGTTTTTGAGAACATTCGAGTACAGTTTTGTTTTCATAGCCGGGGACTATAGGAACGGTACACACTCATTTATCACATCAAGCGATTTCAAGCAAGTCGTCCGTTTTTTTCACTGTTTTATAGAAAAAAAATGAATGCTAAATCTTATATATTTACTATATCCAATGTATCTAGTGAATGCAGTGATGTTTAGCATATTTTCATAAAGTAATGTTAAAATGGTACAGAACACGCTGCTGTTTTTTAAAATATACGGTACGCACAAATTATTAGTCTATTTGAAATAAATCTGGAATATTATAAAAAAATGCCTTTACTTATAATGTTAGTGTCTTTTTTCCAACATCTTACTCGAACTCAAAAATTTGCATTTCGACATATAAATTATTCAATGACTTGGACGACTTGGAAATGCATTTTGCTTGTTGCTTAACGCCAATATCACTGGGATCCTTTGCTTATTTCAAAAGAAAGGTTTGATACTTATAAACAAACCGGTTCTTTTCCCCGTGCACCACTTTCCTAACAATCCATGCAATGAACATTCCCAATGCCTGTCCAATCGGTTGACTCAGTACGTAAAATAACAGTTTAGCAATGCTTCCCCCAAAGTCCAGTCGGGTTAACATGGCAATGATTTCACCTTGTGGGGTATCTATTCCTGTAGATATAAAACATGCTTGTTAATTTAAAAAATGGACATTTTGTCTCCTAATATATACAGAATAACCTCTGCAGAGAAACAACATTTGAGCCGTGTCACGACAAAACCATCATAATCCGCGCAGTCTGATCAGGATCCATGCTGTTCGCTTACAAAACCCTATAACAAGTAGAGAAACTGATAGCGAACAGCATGGATCCTGATCAGACTGCGCGAATGCGCAGGATAGTCTGGATCCATGCTGGTCGCAAACCCATTATGTTGGTTTTGTCGTGACACGGCTCATTTTAGAGACAAAGATTTTTGTTGTTGCTTTGAGAGGTTGCTGTACATATAGGGTAAATTTATTGTGAATATCCTATTTTTTTGGAAAAACTGTTGTATAAAAGTTATTGCTTTACATAGGGTCGCTCTGCAGAGGCTGTATTGTATATAGACATTGGTAATAAATACATATTGATTGACATAAGTAAGCTCTCCAGATTCAGCTTAAAGAAATAGCATAACTGACATCAGCTATATGTTTCCACATGAATCTGTAACGTATGCTTAAGGCTTGAATCGAAATCAAGAAAACCACATTTATGGAAACAATCATCAGATGCTTGCTTAATGACAATTTAATAATACTTTATTAAGCTAATTAAAAAAAATAATGACACTTTTTAAAGCTCATTTTTAAGGTTAATCATACATTTTTTTCTTAGGTCCGTTTTACTTAAGTCTTTCGGAAACAAGAAAAAACATGCAAATGTAAAGATATGAAATTTACCCCAGTGATAGAAGAAGTATACGGCACATGTGAGCCAAAACAATAAACTCTTAAGTAAGTCTTTATTCCCGAGTCCAACCGTCTTCTGAATGAATGTCACCGACCTATTCTCCTTCATTGTTATTCTAAGTTCTGGTAAAGTTAAACCAAGTAAGCCAATGCATACACACAGTGCAGAGCATCCCCTAAAAAGACATAATAGCAAGATATAATATATGAGGACGTTTAACGACAAAATATTAAAAAATGGCAGTTTTCTAGATAAAGTTTATATAGAATATATCTTCGGTCCTCTCTCCCTACCGTTCAAGGATACCTCCAGCAAAGTTCTTGCGGTGTGACCGGGCCTTTAGTTCGACATGCCCCTGATCGGGTTTGAACCCACGCGACTATCGATCTTAAGATTACCAGTCCGACTGACGTATTTACCACCCGGTCATTCATGTTAGATTTGTTGTCAATCATTTCATAATATAAGGGAATCGTTATAATATTGGTAATATTATTTCATAAGGGATCCTGTAATTTTCGACTATTTTTTTTGTTATATCGTATTAAAGCTGGTGCTCCTCTGCCACATTGCCATAGTTTTCGTATTACTTATTAGAGTATATTTTTGTCACGTAAGAGGTTGTTTTGCGCTGTGATGACATAATTATAAATCGCCAAAGGATGGAGGGAAATAGATTGTGGCGTTGTCCGTCCTGGCCAACATCCAATGATTAATGAGATTTATTCCATTCAAATCTTTCATTAGTTTATGCAGAAAAATGTCACATAAAGATCAAAGAAGGGGAACCC